GTGTTGAGGAGTTTTGGTTTTGGAGACAGGTGGTGTAAGTGGATCTGGGGTTGTGTTAGGACTTGCCATTATTCTATCCTGGTGAACAGGACTGTGGTTGACTTCTTTCCTGCGTTGAGAGGTCTAAGACAAGGAGATCCTCTTTCCCCTTTTCTTTTCACCCTGATTGTTGATGTGTTTGGGAGATTGATCCATAGAGCAGACTCGAGGAATTTGATAAGAGGGTGGAGAGTAGGAAGGGAGGAGGTTCCCTTAACACTTCTACAGTTTGCATATGATACTATCATTTTCTATGAAGGAGGGAACTTTAATTGGATCCGGAATCTAAAGTTGACAATACAACTCTTTGAGCAAATATCTAACCTCAAGGTAAGCTTCGATAAGAATTGTGTGGCGGGAGTGAATGTGAACGAAAATGACCTAAGGGAATTTGCAGGTGAGCTAGGTTGTGCAATTACGGACTGGCCCCTGACATATTTGGGCCTCCCTTTAGGAGATAATCCTAAGAATGTTAGCTTTTGGACTTCGGTAGTGGAGAGGTTTGAGAAGAGGCTAGCGGCCTGGAAGAGAAATTATCTTTCTTTAGGAGGGAGAGTCTCTCTCATTAGGTCTACCCTAGCTAACCTACCTGTTTACTATCTATTAGTGTTTAAGATCCCCTCAAAGGTTTCAAATCTTTTGGAAAAATTAATAAGGAACTTTCTCTGGGAGCCTGGAGAGAAGAAGAAAGATCATAGGGTGAGTTGGGAGGTGATCACTAGGAGTAAAAACTAGGAGGTCTTGGGATTGGTAATTTCAAGAAAAGGAATGTGGCTCTACTAGGGAAGTGGTTGTGGAGGTTTTCATTGGAAAGGGATAAATTGTGGACTAAGATTGTGGCTAGCATTCACGGGCTGGAAGACAATGGCTGGGATCCTGGAATCTTGGCAAGGGCTTCAGTAGCTTCTCCTTGGAAATCCATTCACAATCTGCTTCCAGTTTTCTCCCCTTGGATCAGGTATGGTCTAAACTCTGGTAACCGAATAAAATTCTGGGAACTTTAGGTCGGGGATTCTCCTTGAAAGATTCGTTTCCTTCCTTGTATGCTCTATCAGACTTGAAAAATGAACCCATATCTTCTTTCTTGGTCCCTTCAGCCTCCACTTCTGGCTTTGGATGGAACCTTGGCCTGCGTAGGGCAATTA